GGCGGTGAAGGACAGATTCTTAAGGCTGAAATAGAAACTGAAAATAATCAGGGTAATTTCCTCAGCGGTGCAAAAATTTTCCTCAGGTCAGTACGCTTCGTTATCAATGTAACACTTCACGGTAACACTTTGCAATATCCGAAACAGAGGGTAAAAATCAAGGATTTACTTTAAAGAAGAACTAGAAGTAAAAAATACCATCTTCGAGACTGCAAAAAGAAGATCGAATCGAAGTCCATAGGTTCCCGTCGTTAGAGCAGCAAAAGTTGACAAATTTGTTTCGATAATCAGCTAAGCAGACGCAGAAATGTTTATAGCATCGTAAGCTGCGAAAAACATATTTCCAACTTAAACCAACGACATCGTGTTTAGCCAAACCAGTGAATGAGGCAGTGTTTCAGTTGACACCACAGTAGCGAAACTGTGTTTATAACAATCTAAAATGGCTGCCATTTGCCGAGAATAGTGTCTTTAATTGCGTCCACGTATTGTGCAGGAACCCAGTAGATCCAGTATCGAGATGCCTCCGTTGGTCCAAGCTGAATGGCCTGGAACGAAACGCAAATAACCCATTACTGAAAGTGTTTGCTGGAAAACTCATGACAGCGCAAATGACATCACTGAGTTGATTGGTGGTTCATTCAGGGGAGTGTTCAACCTCGCTCCCAGGGTCTCTCATCTTTCCGCCCACTGGAGCGAGGGTGGGAAGATGAGAGACCCTGGGAACGAGGTTGGAGAGCGTTCCCAGTCACAAAAAAACGGATTTCCTTTATTCTCACGACCTTAATAAATGATTCAGCAGTATACACTGTGAGTAGAAATTAGGTGGTCTCTCTTAGGGAAGGTACGTTTTTTATTGGGAGGGGGTGGGCCGGGGCCTCGGAGGGGAGGGTCATTAGTAAATAAATTACAAATTGGGGAGGGTCAAACCTGTTTGATACGCAGCCGTGGGAGGGTCACAGTTTTTTTTTTTTTTGGCAAGGAAAAATCTACTCCATGTCGATTAGTTGACTTCTAATTATTTGTTACCAAACACGCGAAGTGAAACCTAAAACTTATATATACAAGCAAAGCTACCAGTCTAAATCAATCTACATCATTTTAAACACATGTCGAAATATTATGTCAAAAAACTATTTTGTCCCAACTAACGAAATTGTCTCTCTCGACCCGTGCCCGCTTTCATCCATATTTTGACGTCGGTAATGTTTCCGATGTGCTACCGACAGAGTCGGAGGAGTAGCGGGCATCCTTTTTAGAATGGCGAGTCGCAAAACATCCACAATAGCCACATGTTGCTCCATCTGACCTCATGAAATCCTCGCATTCTCCACAAGCGCATTTCCCCCTTTCTATTCCTCGCACATCCTTGCCCATTTTTAAGTTTTCACCGTGTAACGCCACGCAATCACAGGCAGCCCAAGCTCTGTTTGAGAACCACACAAGGAACACAATTTGAATATCGATTTATAAGGATTTGTATGGGATTTTCTACAAGATATCTATAGAGATAGTTAAAAGTGACAATATTAAATAAAAATGGCTTACCATATTCTATACGTGTGTTGCTTGCTCCTGGTGTCGTTATTTTACCGATTTCACTTGATGTAAGCGGTTTTTTTTAATCCTGGTTTTCTCTTTCTTTTAGAAGAGAAAACCAGGATTAAAAAAAAACCGATTAAATCAAGTGAAATCGGTAAAATAACGACACCAGGAGCAAGCAACACACGTATGGAATAAGGTAAGCCATTTTTATTTAATATTTTCACTTTTAACTATCTCTATGGCTATCTTGTAGAAAATCCCATACAAATCCTTATAAATCGATATGCAAATTGTGTTCCTTGTGTGGTTCTCAAAGAGAGCTTGGGCCGCCTGTGCTCAAATCAGTTGTCTCTTGCACCAGCCTATACAGAAATGGAAGACCAAGTTAGTCAGTTATGCCAAGTAGTCGAACGAATGCAAACTTCGGTTAATTCACNAGAGTTGTTTATAGATAAAACTTTTGATATATCACAAAAATACATCTATTTCCGGTGTGGAAACACTTTCGGTGTCGTAAAGCGTTAGTCATTTATTAATAAAAGGTGTTATAAATTAACAAATCTTAACAAACGCGCCATTATGAAAAATTACAGCCAAATTCGCGCGTTTAGTTCGTTTTCTAAACGACATTCCAAAAATTAACCGTCAACCGTCAAATGACCTAAAATTTAACCATTAAAAGGGCTTATTTTTAACTGTCAACCGTCAATGTGCCTCCCCCCCCTCATTGAGACCCTCAAAGCTGGCTCATTGGTATGTCTCTTGTCTGAGAAGAAGACAAATGACCTGGTTTAAAAGTTTAAGTGGAAAAGTTCGATTCAAAGATAAATTTGAAAAACGTTTTCGGAGTTTTTCCTCTTGCCGATTGGCGTTACTATCACCAAGAGTGTTTCTCAAGTTCCATTCGAGCGAGGGACTCTCGCATTCGCGTAAGGATACGCACGCACGCGCAAAAAAAAAAATTGGTAGCGGCTCGTGTTTGAGGCAAATCTCTCGATAAGCTACCTACTCCACTGCGCGGCTTGAGGTAAGCTGTAAAGTAATTTTGTTATAGGACAGAGAAATGGAATGAAACAACAGGTCAGCCTTTGAAAGCTCGTAGGAAGATCTCTTACCATCATATGATATTCGTCGTGGCCCTCGATTGGTTCCGACACTACATTTTTTATTGATCCCATCGGTATCTTTTCTGTTCGTTCTGGAAAAAAAAAGAAAAAAGAGACAAACAAAAAAATCACTAAGTACCCCATTTCTAACATTGATCTAACGGTAAAACAGAGCGGTGCCTCGCATGGGACGCCAGTCCCGTTCGCACCTGCCCTTTTGGGTTAGAATTACTTTTGTTCCAATTTTCCTTAATTTTTGTCTCTATGTAATATGTTTTTGTACTTAATACTATATTATAAACCCGATAAAGTTGTTAAAATAAAATAAATAAATAAATACCGGTAAAAGAAAATCTAAAAAAATTCCGTTTTGCTAGCTGTTGAATATCTCGTAAACCTTTCATAGAGCTAACAAAAGTAGCGTACCTTTTGTTCCAATCCAAACTTGATCCAATTCAAGCTTGAAAGTTAATCTAACTTTTCCTCCATATTTGTTATACATCCCAGCAATTGGAACATTTGGTAACTTTTCCTATGAAACAAATTTTAAAGTACTCATTTCATAACCATAACCTTCAAAACCTAAAGTTGAACAGCAAGACTGGTTTATTGAGCTCTTCCTCTTTATTCCACCATCCACTGCCCAGTAACTCTAAGACACGGGAGGTCTCTATTACAGTAAAAATTTCTTTGCCCAACGTTAAAGCCTAATCACCATA